AATCTATTTGACTATATAAGCTCAAGAACTAAGAGGTTGTGCAAATGCGTTTTCGGTTGAGCTCGAATGGAAACTCTGAAGAAAACTAAAATATGAAAATGTTTTATTTAAAAAACATTTGGAAGCTGAGAACTAATGTTGGTAGTAGGTGGTTTTATTGCTAGAGAATCATTTAAAGTTGAGGAAGCTAAACATCGTCCACACAAAGACCATTCTATTATTTATATGAGTAAGCTTATAGAACTCATAAAATCCACAATTCCCACCTTTGATATCTGTTTCTGCTCTATCGAATCTACTCGAACTTCGAGAATTTTGTAGGATAACCTTCAACACCTATTTTATAAGCGAGAGAGGAGCGTTTTAAAGATATAGAGAGAGATAGAGAGGTAGAGAGAGAGAGATAGGGAGACACGCAGAGAAAGAGAGAAATACAGAGAGATAGAGAGACAGAGAGAGAGAGAGAGAGAGAGAGAGAGAGAGAGAGAGAGAGAGAGTGATGTTAAGCAAAAGACGCTCCAACACAATTCCCGGCTCTGAATTTTTGAAAGATATATCGGGTGAATATAAAATTTGTAAACAGAAAATATTTCTTTAATTTAGGTATATCTACATATATTTTTCTTATGCAAAGATCATACCTTACTTTGATGTTTTCTGTAAATCCCGATAGCGCCATCATATGCAAAGGAATATTCTTTATTTTTACGTTTATATGCGCACCGTTAACTTTTCCATTTATTTTCCGTTGCTTTTAACACTAGTTTTCGCCTTTTAATTTCATATTTTATATGAACTTTAATCCAAGTTCCCTGACAACGAAACTGCTACTGAAGACAGGCACGGCGATGCAGTGGCAAGGGAAGGGAGGAGAAGTAGCAGGAAGGCATTGACTGCTTGCGAACACTTTCCGTCTCGACGCTACACATGCGTATATGTGAGTGTGTGCGTGCAACTACAAGTATATGACTTTGAGGACACCATAGCGACAAGCCGCTGATGTCGTCTTCGACTTGCGTTTATAATGAACTTTTTATGCAGATGCTTGACAGCGTGGACTTAACGGAATCGCGAGCAAGGGAAATTCATAAAAAGAGAAAATGAGGATAAAAGCATACGCAGAAATATTTTGCTTGTAACGCATATGGTACATTAGGGTGCTTACTAGTGGCGCGATAAATTTTAATACAATACTATTTGCTTTGTTTTATTCCTATAGAAGCCTGGAAGTTAAGGCAGAATACAATGTCTTTGTAATCACTTAAAATTTCACAATTTATTTTTTAGAAAAATTAAACTTTTAAACAGACTCTACTGTGGGTGTGCATGTGAGTATGTGGGGGACGAAGCAAAGTTCGATACTTGGCTTATATGTAAAAAATCATCAGCAATTAGTAATACGACCATAAGTAAATTGTGTCATACCGATCAACTGTCAACTCCCACAATTGGAAAAAATAGTGTATAGATTCGCTGACATCGCAACTTCTTGCTGCCATCGATATGTAGTTAACTTTACGACTGCCAACATCTTTCACTTTACGAACTTACCACCAACGGCGGTGAAAGCGAATGGCAGCCACCAGTCAGACAGTTCTGACGTTAAGTATGACTTGAACTGTTGCTGGCGGCATAGCCCTTAGCAATTGTCGCCGCTTCTATAAACACATCAAGTCTATAATATTCACATATATATCTATGTGAGCATGAAAAATGTTAGCTACTCATAAATGCGGTACTTCCAACACGAACACAATCGGGTTGACGTGTTTTTAAGTATGTCCTGAGTGCTCTCTTGTCTAGAATTCTTGAGACTGTCTGTCTAATAGACAATGTAACACCTTTTTCACCTAAAAACGTCGAACGTAATATTAAAAATAAAAAAAGAAATAAAATAAAATAAAATAAAATAAAGTAAAATAAATAAAATGAAAAAAAAACATAAAATAAACTAAAAACCGTTATTAAATAATTTGAAATAATATAAAATAATATCAAACAAAAAAATCAAATAAAATAAAACAAAATAAAATAAAATAAAATAAAATAAAATAAAATAAAATAAAATAAAATAAAATAAAATAAAATAAAATAAAATAAAATAAAATAAAATAAAATAAAATAAAATAAAATAAAATAAAATAAAATAAAAAATAAAATAAAATTGAAAAAAGAATGAAAAAAATAAAAGAAAATGAAAATAATAAAATAAAATAAAATTCAGTGAAATAAATTAAAATTAAATTAAATAAAAGCAAATAAAAAAAATATGAAAGAAAAACATACTATTTGTTCAAATTTTTACTAACCGCCCAAAAAAAAAAAAAAAATTATATTTGTTATTTATATACATATATGAGAAAGGGTTGCACAGTGTACAAAATGTAGTTGCTCTTGTAAATCAATACATTTTTATTGGACATGTGTTTATTTTCTGTTGTGGTCTCTCGCTATATGTCGCACCATTTTTCAATAAACTGTAAATGTAACTGAAATATTTTTGTATGATATTTTCTATGGCATACTCGCACAAACCTTTTCTCAATTTTATTATCAAAACTCTCTTCATGCTTTTTATACAAATGTATGTGTCACTTAATGCAGATTATTACAAAATTTTTTTTTTTTTTGCTTTTGCATTATTCGATTTTACTGATAAGTCAGCGAAAGATTGCCTCAGCAATACACCGAATTATACCTTTTCGAAAATAGTCAAATAATGTTATGATGGAGTAATCATAATAAAAACGCGAATATTTACATAAACCCGACCTAAAAGTGCTAGACAAATTTACTTCCTGTCAGCCCAAATTTTCTAAAATTTTATGGCATCAGTGCTAAGGAGTACACTTAGACTTATACATACAAACTTACATATTTTTACATCGCAGATATTATTAGCGTGTTGCTGCAAACCGCAAATTAAAGCTCATACAAACACACATTTATAATAATAATTTTATACTTCACATCGCAAGCTCATCCACCACATCTCATTTCCTCATTCATCCGCATCTGGTTACACCTGCAGTGGCTGCGTCATAAACCGCATTATTGCACTGCTACTCATATATGTATTTGTTTTGATCTTCCATTCATTATAACCTATATATGTAAGTTTCCGCGGTAAATTGGTGCTCCTTGTCTTGGTAACAAAATTTAATGGCTTATAGAATTTATTATGATTAGGTACACGTACGTAGAACGATGAAATGGTGACTTTTCAGTAGTGTTGAACACGTCTTTTGACTCTTCGTGCAGTTTATTATTAGTTGAATAAAAATGGGTACTAAGTACATGGCACAAGATCACCTTTGACTAAAATGCAAGGCAATATTTGTTAGGTTTTCATTATTTTTCTTGTTTTCTAGTTGAGATGAGAGATGTAAACATTCCTGATTTTTCCATCCCTTTAAGAACGGAGCTGGTATATCATTAACACATTGAAATGATGGTGATTCCCCAAATATTTCAGGTTTCATAAACAGGATTTCTCGCACACAGCCTGGGAAAGTTGTTTACGAAATTCGAACGAACATTCGATTCATGTACTCTGAAATATGCTGCGATTATTAACCTCCTCTTTTCTAAGCACACTGCTTCCATCACCCAAATGGACCATCTGCGTCTGGTTATTTGACCTGCTGTTTAATAACTTTGTGCGGTTCTTCCCAGATGCACTGCAATTTCGGAGTCGATACTTTTTTCATTGGCGATTATATGGCAAGACTAATTCAGACATTTCAGAAGTGCTTCGGAACTCAACACCGTATCATATAGGGCATTCTTCTTGCATTGATACCCTGGGTAAGCTGCATAGTTTTCAGCTCCTCCTTCAGGATAGCGTGGCTCAAAAACTGCTCATGACTTTTAGATGATTGTTGTGTTGGAGGGTCCTGTAAAAGCTTTCATTTATTTTCCTCTGCCCGAGAGCCCTTCATTAGACTCCATTAAAACTATTGTTGAAGTTCATTAAAACATTAGGAATTTGACTACCTTGAGCTATGATGACACGAATATTGATCATCTTCACTTTTTTAACTGCTTAATCCTTTTCTGGAGATCGCACTTCACTCCTAATTTAGGTGCATGTAACGGTCAAAAACTTTTTGAAAACCCTTAAGTGGAAGACCTTAACCCAGCGAACGTCTTCTAAAGAAGTTGCACATTCTGACTACTGGGCTCTTTGATGGATGGAAACCGATTGGGGGATCAATGACATATCTAAATTATCCCTATATATATTCAAACTGTTCACCAAAGCCACAATCGGCTTGCGGAGTAGAAGTTCCGTGTTTCATTTCGTTTGTTTGTTATAAGTAAACAATTTGTTATTGGTAAACGACTTAACAAATAAATGAATGGAGTATTTTCGGCGGCTGCAGTAGCGGGGTGGTCAGCAGTAGGCAGATAATGTAAGCGCTTCTATGAGTATTTCTGACATAATTTTAAAACATTTAGTTAGAAAAATCCGTAGCTGTCTTACAAAGGCTTTAGATCACCCCGTCTGCAAGGGGTTATAGAGCTTCAAATATCTAAAGATAAGTAAATAAATATATACCGAGAAAGATTGAAAGAGTCTTTCGTCTACCTAGATCTGGATTTGAACAACCAACCTCTAGCTCGATGCACGCACTTCTATGTTCTCGACTAGTTTAATCGAAAAATTAATTAATTAATGAATTAATTACGAAAGCTCATTTTATCTTATCCATCATCTAACCCATATACACGTACATAAAGCATTTCGCCCAACACAAATTTACTTAACAGTTGCATTGGTTGAGAGACAGTAAACATTTTACATCGCATTTAGTTAACCGGTTTCTATCAACTGACGAACGATGAGTTTTCGGCTAAGCAAACGCATTTCAAGAGCTTTTGTGAAAACTACGCTTGTGTGTTCCGTTTGCTTTGGCCTCCTACCATTCTATTACAGTGAACGACAGCGCCGTTTCATCTCTACAAAATCGATAACTATTTATAATATTTGCATAAATATGATAATCGTTGTGTTGATGGCGTTCCTTTTGGCGGTGTACGCAAGTCTTGATGATGCCTTCAAAACAGGCGATCCATTGGCTGAATTGCTTAATGATCTAACGATAGCCATCAGTTTTAGTGCCTTACTGCCCATGTGGTGGGTTAATTGGTCGAGCCGTCAGCGTTTGCAAAATCTGTTCAATGAATTTGCTGCAATCGAAGATGATTTTTTCTATCCGTATAGACATTTACTAGCAGATTGTACGACTTATGATAATTACCTGTTGTGGAAGGGACTGGCGTCGCTACTACAGAATTTATCATTCCTAAACAGCGCTTCAACAGTTGAAACCCCAAGCATATTACTTATAATTTTCATGTGTTTATTGACAATATTGACCAATGTAGTGTTACTAGTAGCAACACATTTCTACCTCGTTGTTTTACACACTTATCGATTGATATGGGCGCTGAATCGACGGCTCGAAGCTATAGCAGCCGATAACATAATGCCGCGTCTGTGCCAGCGGCGTCATCTTTTGAGTGTGGAAATCGATACAATGGCAAGTATTTATGCTCGCTTGATAAGCTTGTGTGAGCGCTATACACGTATGCACCAGCTTCATCTGCTGCTGGTGATTGGCTCAGTTACTGCTTGTAATATTGAGGTGTTGTTTTATGTACGCCTGCTGTGGAGCGGTAAAATTCCTGAAAGGACGGCGTTCAATGTGTTCGCGGTTTTCCAGATATTCGTGGTGAATTTATTGGACTTTTGGCTGACAATAACAATTTGTGAGTTGGCGTTGGTTGAGTCGCGTAAAACTTCGGCCATTCTGCGTGGTTTCAGCGCGAAGCCGAAGTTGACGTTGAATGTGGAGCGGAGTGTGGGTGAATTAATTGAGTTTTATTTTTTACAGTAAGTTATTTGCTGAATTTTCGCAATCTTATTTTTGCAGTTGGAATGCTTCGCCATCATTTGCAGCAGCACAAAATTGCGTTTTCATATCTGCGGTTTATTCGATATAAATCATTTGACCGGCTTAAAAGTATTATCGACAATGATATTATATCTCATATACTTGGTGCAATATTATCATGATAATCTTTAGAAAAGCAAAAAAAAATTGCTGGTGACGAGCGGTAATAGAATTTGGTGTCCGACCGGAAATTATTATTTTTTCTTTCGATGGACAATTGGCATCAAATGTTTGAGGAATATTGGGTATTTTAAATAAAATTAGGAAAACTTAAATTCTCAATGTTAGCGAAATAAAAATAAATTTAATATTTGGAAAATGTTTTGATTTAGTCTGAGCAAATATTTATTATTTGGAAGAAGTTTTGATTTAGTCTGAGCAAATATGGCAATACTTATGATTCTGTAGGTGGCTAATTTTCAAGGCAGCAGGAAGAGCTCCGTTGAATTAATATTAAATATATAAATAGAATATAGGTCGCTTAACCGTCCCGCAAATGTGAAGAAAAAAGCTGTGTGCAAAAAGAGATATTTCCTCTAGCCATCGGTATTTTATGCACATGACCAGAAAAAATATATAATGTATTACACATATTTTTTAAAATCACAGAAAAGTAAGTCGTAGTTTGGTTTGACGGAAAGCAATGACCAGCCAAGCACTTAGCCTAGTCCTTAAAATGTAGTGCCATTGGATTACCATTTGCTTTGCATCCTTCATTTAAATTGTAAATTTTCCCATCCTATCCTTTGTTAACTTTTATTTAACCCTCAAGCGATTGAATCCGAAGGATATGGAAAATCAACGTGTTTACTTTACAATTGGTTATGAAACGAAGAACACTTTGAAGCTGAAATAGGTAGTAGCAGTTTAAAAAGCAAATCTTAGGTAACACACATCCATAGAATGGGATTTCAGTGAAATATTATAAAGTTGAAAATATTGGGCATAGGTGTATGAAATAATAAGCGGCAGGAAGTAAGAGAAGAATGCACTCAAAACATCGTTTAAGTTCTTTAACTAAAACAAAATTTATAATGTAATGATTTTTCTTCAATATGCCTTGATGATTTCTCAAATACATTGAATTCAATCGTTGGCTTGTTAAATAAAAGTCACAAGATTTGTACTTTAGCTTCTTTATTGGAAACACGCAGTTAACCGTATCTCTTATAAACATGCAATTTGCTTTGCTTCACTTCAAAGCGATATTGTCAATACTAAGTTTCAAACTCAATTGAACATGCCAGCAATGCGCGCTTCGCTCTTATATAGCTACAGATTGTTCGCTTATATCTTCTTGAAGATTCTGTTTGAATGTTCTCGATAACGAACATTCGATAAATGCGCTCTTGCCATAATATACTTCAGTTATCAACAAATTCGCATCAATAAGAGAACAAAAAAAAAAAATTCTATATATTGTATATATAAATATTTACCAAAATAATGGCAACTCTACTAAAATGTACTTGAAACAAATAATATATTAATATTAAAAAACAAATATTAAATTCGTATTAATATTTATATTACTGGTGCAAAAAGTAATTATGAATAAATATATATATTTTTTGGTAATATGAGCAAAAATAAATCATTTCAATGAAACAAAATAATTTAAAAGTGATTTTGCCAACGTAGGGTGAATTTTATTTGAAGTTGAACGAAATATATGTATACACTCAGTCCTTTTTTTACGCGATTATTGGTTCTGCCACTAATTGCGTAAAAAAAAATCGCATAAAAAAGGTTAGTTTTCCAATATTAACTGACGAATTGGTTCCGAATATAAAAAATATCGCGTATAACAAAATATACGGGCAAAAAAATATTTAAAAACAATACAAAAAGTTTCAAATTTCAGACTTATGATTTATTCATTCATAACAAAATAAAAAATACAAAACAAAAACCATATATAAAAGAGAAGAAAATAGAAAATAGGTAGATTTATTGAAATAACCGTTGAATGCTGTTTAATCACTGTCATTATCCGTAGTGGAAATTATTCTTAGCCGCTTATTGTGATGATCTGCACTGATAACACTAGAACTTGTATCAGAATCAATAGTAAGAACTATGGATTGATGCCCTGATTGACTTAGCATCTCCGACTGTGTTTGCTCCATAAATTCAGTTAATTTTGTTTGAATGCTTCTTTTTAGACCCAATAAATTCCGATCAGGTTCTTTATATCTTAACATGCAGAGACTCAATTCTTTTTGAAAAATTCGTACACTCTCGGCATCAGTATCATTTGCTACAAAATAATTTTCCAATTCTGCTGCAAGTTTAAGACCTTGCTTAATCGTCTCTGCTTTAATTGGATGCCCGTCAATCTTGGTGTCGCTGCCATTTTCCGATTCGATTACTTCCGTAGCTATCTCAATTAAATCGTCATCATCGAGCTCTCGGTTTAGAAGAATCTCGTCAATATCTTCTCTCGTCATATCTGCAAGAATTTCTCCTCCCGCGGAGCTTGCTAAATTAATGATATCTGAATAATTAGTTGAATTGCTTGTCACGGACATACCACTTTTAACACATTCTGGCCAAAGAGATTTCCAGCATGCGTTTAACGTATGTTGCCTTATTTCAGAAATTACTTTTGACGCGTACAAGATGCAATTCTTGATAGAAAAATTTTTCCAAGCATCGGTGAAGTCCAATTCAGGATTTTCCTCCAGTTTTTCCATAATGCACTGAATAGTTTTTTTGAGGTAGTACATTTTAAAAGTCACAATAATGCCTTGATCCATCGGCTGGATAATTGATGTAGTATTCGGCGAAAGGAAAATTATATTTACATTAGGATGTTCAATCAACGGATAGCCTGGTGCATTGTCAATTATTAAAAAAACCTTTAAAGGGCTGTTTCTTCTTCTCCAAATAACTTTTAACTTCTGGTACAAAGCATTTAGCAAACCATTCTTGGAATATATTTCCAGTTACCCAGGCTTTTTTATTGGCCATCCAGTGAAAAAATACGTAGAGCTTTTTGTTCTATTGTTGTAGTATCAACTGGGATTCGTTTCTGGTTGAGATCCTCAATCCAAACTGTTAATAGGTATTCCATTTCCTCAATAAAAACATTTCTCGCATTTACATATTTGCCGGAAACTACAGATTTCCTAATTGCATTTACATTTTTTTTTATTGTCCACACTGTAGATTTACTGAGTCCAAGCCTCTTTCCCACATTTGTTGGGCCAGCTCTCTGCTCTAGATAGTCCAAAACTTTTATTTTTGTTTCTAAAGAAATGCCTTTGCGTTTTTTATTTTTTTCTGAATTAGCTTCCATTGTAAAGCTAGCGAAAATTGAAATTCCTTATTAAAATTTTTTATTATTTTTATTACAAAATTATAGATATATTTTAAAGTCTTACCAAAACAACTGCACCGGCCGCTAACTAAATACATTATAACTAGATTTGCAATAATTGATACACATAGAGTAAAATTTTTTTGTTGGGACTTTTACTTATTACATTCGAAAACTATTACGCGTAAAAATATGTAAACAAGCTAAAAACGAAAAAAAGCAATCGCGTTAAAGTGAGAAATCCGCGTAAAAAGAGATCGCGTAAAAAAAGTACTGAGTGTATATGTATGTGTATTAAATTAACAACTTATAATGGAATTCCTTTTGCTGTACTGCGATTTACTCCAAACGATGGTTAAATACTCAAAAATAGTAATATATAATATATTGAGCAGAAAATATACGAAAACGTCGAGCACGACCCGATTTAGCAACGAGTCTTTCTCGTAACCACAAATTGCTTCAACTACGGAAAGTTTTTTCAACACTGTTATAATAGCATTCCAAATGATGTAGTGGTCAAAATGCATACATTCCAATTTTAGCTGTTTAAAGAGTTAAAAACATGATCGATCTATTGCTAAGCATTCATTGAAAAAGTCTAAGAGACTCCTTCGGCCACTCCAAATCTGCCAAAGTACAATAATAGCAACATGAATCGTTCCATATACACGTATATTCAAACTGTTCACCAAAGCCACAATCGGCTTGCGCTGTAGAAGTTCCGTGTTAAGATGATTCTGCCTGGGCAACCAGAAATAGAGTAAAATAACCGTAATTCCATTGTTAATGATAGTATAATTCATCGAAAATTTAGAGTATTCAACTCTTTAATTTATTTTATTGTAGCGAAATGGCAGTAAGCCTAAGAGTTGGCTAGACAAACAGTGGCTCTCAAATTGTGTTGTGTCAATCGGTGGCGAATTTCGACGTAAAATTGTGTAAAGAAATAGCAAACCGTTCCGAACTGTTGGGGAAGAAAATTATGTTGTAAATATTTTGCCATTGTGTGAAACACAATTTTAATTTCGTTTGTTTGTTATAAGTAAACAATTTGTTCCAAATAATAATTTTTTCGGCGACGCAGTAGCGGAGTGGTCAGCAGTAGGCAGATAATGTAAGCGCTTCTAAGAGTACTTCTGACGTATTTTTAAAAATCCGTTGCTGTCTTACAAAGGCTTTGGATCGCTCCGTTTGCTACAAAAAACTCTGCAAGCGGTTATTGACCTTCACTCATCTAAAGTAAAGTAACGATCGCAGATTGAAAAATTCTTTGGTCTACCTAGATCTGGATTTGAACAACTAACCTCTGGGCCGATGTACGCTCTTCTATGTTCTCGACTAGTTTCATCGAAAAATTAATTAATTAATGAATTAATTACGAAAGCTCATTTTATCTTATCCATCATCTATCCCATATACGTGAACCATTTCGCTCAACACAAATTTACTTAACAGTTGCATTGGTTGAGAGACAGTAAACATTTTACATCGCATTTAGTTAACCGGTTTCTATCAACTGACGAGCGATGAGTTTTCGGCTAAGCAAACGCATTTCAAGAGCTTTTGTGAAAACTACGCTTGTGTGTTCCGTTTGCTTTGGCCTCCTACCATTCTATTACAGTGAACGACAGCGCCGTTTCATCTCTACAAAATCGATAACTATTTATAATATTTGCATAAATGTGATAATCGTTGTGTTGATGGCGTTCCTTTTGGCGGTGTACGCAAGTCTTGATGATGCCTTTCTAACAGGCGATCCATTGGCTATGATACTTAATCGTCTTGCGGCGTATATGACATTTAGTGCCTTACTGCCCATGTGGTGGGTTAATTGGTTGAGACGTCAGCGTTTGCAAGACCTTTTCAATGAATTTGCTGCAATCGAAGCTGATTTTTTCTATCCGTATAGACATTTACTGGCAGATTGTACGACTTATGATAATTACCTGTTGTGGAAGGGACTGGCGTCGCTACTACAGAATTTATCAATCTTCTACACTACAACAGTTGAAACCCCAAGCATATTACTTATAATTTTCATGTGTTTATTGACAATATTGACCAATGTAGTGTTACTAGTAGCAACACATTTCTACCTCGTTGTTTTACACACTTATCGATTGATATGGGCGCTGAATCGACGGCTCGAAGCTATAGCAGCCGATAACATAATGCCGCGTCTGTGCCAGCGGCGTCATCTTTTGAGTGTGGAAATCGATACAATGGCAAGTATTTATGCTCGCTTGATAAGCTTGTGTGAGCGCTATACACGTATGCACCAGCTTCATCTGCTGCTGGTGATTGGCTCAGTTACTGCTTGTAATATTGAGGTGTTGTTTTATGTACGCCTGCTGTGGAGCGGTAAAGTTGCCTGAAAGGACGTCGTTCAATGTGTTCGCGACTTTCCAAATATTCGTGGTGAATTTGTTGGACTTTTGGCTGACAATAACAATTTGTGAGTTGGCGTTGGTTGAGTCGCGTAAAACTTCGGCCATTCTGCGTGGTTTCAGCGCGAAGCCGAAGTTGACGTTGAATGTGGAGCGGAGTGTGGGTGAAATAATTGAGTTTTATTTTTTACAGTAAGTTATTTGCTGAATTTTCGCAATCTTATTTTTGCAGTTGGAATGCTTCGCCATCATTTGCAGCAGCACAAAATTGCGTTTTCATATCTGCGGTTTATTCGATATAAATCATTTGACCGGCTTAAATGTGTTATCGACAATGATTTTATATCTCATATACTTGGTGCAATATTATCATGATAATCTTTAGAAAAGCAAAAAAAATGCTGGTGACGAATATGAGTTGCTGTCCAGCTGGAAACTATTATTTTTTTCCTCGATGGACAATTGTCATGAAATGTTTGATGAAAGTTGGGAATTTTAAAACCAAGTACCTCTGAAAATTTTTCAAAAAATCAATTTTTTTTTCATGTTAATTGCCTGAAAATATTCTTAGAAATATTGTAGAATTAATATCGAAGGTCCGCAAGACCAACAAGTAAGTATATAAGAGCGGAGTGCGCCAAGCGGTAAATAATAATATCGCCTCTCTCTCCAGACCATGTTTTTGCACCTGAGTGGCACTCTTATTTAAAACCGATTGAACTAATCAACAAGAACTATACGGCGGTTTGCCCCTAAAATGTGTCTCTATACGAACAAAAGAGACGTGTTCCATTAGCAATTTTAACAGCTGCCACTTAAGAAACAAATGTTTCAATTAATATTTTTATACGTCGATATAAATATCTAAATAAATAAATATTATAAATATTTCTTCTTTAATAAATAAAATTTGACCGAAGAAAACTCGTTTTTGAAAAACTTGTCCTTAAATAAATTTAAGAAAGCTTAAATTCTCAATATTAGCGAAAGAAATCGGAATAAAATTTATAAAGCAAGGGAAGGGAAAGGTATTCAAAGATGGTTAGTTTGAGAGGCAGTAGGAAGAGTTCGGTTGAAAGAGTTGCGAGTGCAAAGGTGTCAAGTGCACGAGAACGAGAATTTCAAAATAAATTATAAGTCGTTAAGTGGTTTCGCAAGTGAGAAAAAAAAGTCAAAGTGCAAAAAGACGCATATCCTCTAGCTATCCAATTTTTGTTAACATCGCCAAAGAGAAGAGAAATGAAACTGGTAGCCGCTCTAAAACAAAAACTTATCTATATATTTGAGGCGATTAACTGTTTTAATACTTAGGAAGAGACTGTACTTTCCCAGCCATGATACAAAAGGTTCCATTAGCGCTGGCACCATACCTGATGATAATATATAGTGAGTCTGCCAGGTTTTAATAAGTATACACCAGTCTTCAGAAGAAAAATGAGGGCTGTATTCATACTGAAGGCGGGGATAAGGAGTCCTCTCTATACGAAAAATACAAACCTATACAAGGCATCGGTAACAAATGAGTCTGAACAAATTTGGAGAGGCCCTACACCGATGGGTGACACTGGTCAAATTAAAGTTCTTCTGTACTGGCGTTAGCACCACTTACGCGATTATGGCCGAATCAAAAAAAAAAAAAAAAAAAAAAGCGCGCCATTCATCCCTTCTTGGAAATACCAAGTGAAACCAGGTCGCTCTCAACCTGATTCTTCCACGGAGTGGAGATCTTCCTCTGCTTTCACCAGAGGGTACTGTTGGCCAACTAAGAGCTGGATGGTGCACTCCACCACTCCAGGATAATACGGTACGGAAACTTTTCCCTTAAAAGATCTATGGTTTCGTTGATGGAGTGCCACGTAGTGCCTTCTTGTTGAAATTAATCAGCTCATTACCATCTAATTGCGTCCATAAAAAATCATTAATCATCTCTCGAAAGCGCAATCCGCCGGACCATGGATCACACCAAACAGTTACACGTTGAGGATGGAGAGGATTTTCAGTAATAAATCTTGGGTTTTCCGAGTTCCAGATGCGATAGTTTTGCTTATTGACGTAGCCATCGAGCCATAGTTTCACCTTTTTTATAGTGAATTTTAATCATTTTACTGCGTTGGAAAGCCCCTTAGTTGTTAGCAACTTACTGATGAATTTCGCGACTTCTGACCGAGATCCACCTTCAATTTGGGGTGTTGGGCATTAAAAAAAAATTAAATTAATTTTTGAATCGGAGCGATAATCTCAATATTTCAGTCGACAGTGTTGATTATATAAATTATATATATATAAATATGTGGAAACTGATTGAAACTAGTTGGAGGAATTAGTGTTTGCGTCTTTTCAAGAAATCCACCAACTAAGCGATCGCCCCTCAGCAGGGAAGGTCCACCCCGCCGAGTGTATTTCGGACATGAAATAAAAGCTCCTCATAAAAAACCCATCAACCGTTCGGAGGCGGTTTAGTATAAACTGTCTGTCCGCCCTTCCATTTGTTGGAAAAACATCAAGACGCAAAACCATAAATTGGAGAAGGAGCTCGTCGGAAAATCGCTTCAGCGGTTACAAAGCGCCAATTATATATATATATATATATATACTGTACTTAGCAGAAAGTTCTTCTCTTACAGTACTAGATATTAGTAATTTTCCTTCTGATCTAAGTAAAAATTCAGCAATGTACACATCGCATATCTAGTAAATCGAACCATAAATACAATTTTAATGTAAGCAAAAAGCAACCGCTGTATCGAATTTCAAGTATTTCGAGCAATAAATAAGGTTGCTTTTTAAATAGGTCGGCGCCAAGTCCACTGCCCGTAGACAAGCAAAACCCCGGGCCATAAATGGAGTTTTTTTAATAAGTCAGCCCTTGGTCCACTTCCTGAAGAGCAGAATAGTTTTGCTGTTAATCTAAGTATTTTTTATCATTAAAGCCATACCAGGAATCATTAAAATAATCTGAGGAAATTTCAACTGATCGGTAAGTTGTGGAGATTTTTCCAAACGGACATAATAATATTTTTGTATTTAATATTGATTTACATATCCGCCATATTTTATACTTTAGTGGAAAAAAGTTAGGGTGAATTTTTAATTTCAGTTTCGCGCGTTTGATATTTTGGGTTAACCCATTTTTTTTTAATGTTGATAGCACTGTTATCGACATCTATGCCAAATTTCATCATTGGTATTTCAGTTACGTTTGTGTTTACTAAGCGACAAAAAGTGTCTTCGGCGAATTTCAAAAAAATCGATCTTTTTTTCATATTTCGGTAGATTACACCTTTAAAAATAAAATATTGAAATAGTTAAACCAAATAGTTTTTGAGTTATAGCAATTTAAAGAGCAGCCGCTTTGCAGCTAGAGAGTGAAAACGATCATTTTATCTTTAAACGCGTATTTCTCGGAACACCATTTTCCGAATTTGCTGCAGTGATTACTCAAAAACAAATGATCCGATCACTAATGAATTTTTCTTTGTACATGTTCTATATATAGTTCTCCGTACAATGACCTATCGATTTTTGATCTGATCAAAAAATGGTGTTTTGGCAGGCCAAAAACGACCAAAATTTTGGATAAAATTCGCCATATTGTCAATTTTTGATTTTTTTTTTTCGTAGGTCATTGTACATACAATATTTTCTTATAGAGAATTTCTTTTTTTGATTTCATCCACGGAGAATGCCGGAATCACAGCAGCAGTGAACGACCGTTTTTTCGCGCCGTTGGAGATCGACTATAACTTAAAATATATTTAATTTTTTTCTTCAAAAATTTCACTGTATATATTTTTGAAACATGTGTAAACACATTCTTAGATTTTTTAAATAATTATTAAAGCATTGTTTTTTTATAAAAAACGAATTTTCAGCTGCTGAAACGTTGAGGATGCTACAGAAAGCCTGTGGAGACTCAAATATGTCGCAGAAGAACGTAGGGACGACCATCAACGTCAACGGATGTGCAACACGTCAATGAAATTAAGGAATTAGTGCTCAAAAATCGGCGATAGACTGTTAGACCCCTTACTGATATGGTTGGAATATCAGAAGGATCTGTAAAAACGATTTTGAAGCACTATTTCTGCAAAAAAAGACTAGAATTTTGAACGAAAAATTCTTTGTTTTTGCATCACGATAATGCACCGTCGCACGCAGCACATATACTTCGTGACCGTTTCGCTAAAAATTCCCCGAGTATCGTTCCCCAACTACCGTAGTCGCCGTACTTAGCACCATGGGACTTCTGGCTTTTCCAAAAACTCAAGGGACCACTTCGAGAACACCGTTCTGAGTCGATTGATGAGATTAAATGTGAATCGGCGCGCTGTCTGCAGGCCATACCAGAACGTGACTATTTGATATGCTTCGATAATTGGAAAAAGAGTTGGCTTAGTGCAGTTCATCGACAGGAGACTATATTGAAGGACAAGTAAAGATTTTTAATTTAATATTTTAAACAAATTCACCTTACTTGTTGCCCACAGTAGTATATATGTATATAGTTTCCTCGCCAAATTAAGGTGTGGGTTTTAATAGCTTTGCCAACAAATAGGAAATTTGGTCATCTCCAATTAATGGACCTGGATGTCCTTATTCAGCTCGAATTAAAATTCTTAGAGATGTTCCTATTATTCCAGCTCATGCTCCAAAGATGAAATATAATGTTCCAATGTCTTTGCGATTAAATAGCTGAAGTTTAGGCAATAGACTGTAAGAAAAATGAGGAAATTTTTATTCTATGCCAGAAATACACAAACTCAAAGGGTTTGACATTCCCTGCCGAGCGGTGAGCGCAATTAAGAAAGCTAAATTAATTTTTATATTTAAATTAATTTTCTTAAATTTTTTCAAGTTGGTGGTTCCAGAACTCGAACTCTGGTCTTCCAAACGGCAGTACGCAATGCCAATTACTCGGCTGTCATGGCTGCCGGTGGCTAATAAAACTAACAATGATTTTTTGCAGTGCATCAAATGTATGCTAACTCGCCCCAACCTTATCACAAATGCATGCCCACGCTATTAGCATAATCACAATATTTGTTTTTGATGTCAACACAAGTAGCTAATGCCCGCATATGTACGCTTGTATGTTTTACTTTCGGCAAGAATTTAGTGCAACTTTACACTTCAGAGCGAAAGGTTCGATCTTACAAGCGATGTGTTTGCGTTGGCGTGCCGCTTTGGCTCGCTTTATCGGTTTTAATAGGAAGACGCGGAAAGTCTCACCTTCCAAAAACGCGCTCATTTATAGCAACTGTTTGAACGTGTTTATGATTGTTGTTTCATTTTTCGTCTGGTCCGATGAGTATGCACTCGATTTTGACGCAGTCTATCACCATTAATCGATGGAAATGCTTACCAGAGTAATAGTAATAGCAAATATTTTTGAACTCATCGTTATTGTTGTAAACAATTGGCGTGAATAAACATCGGTAATGCATAATTTCAATTAACTTGCTGCCATCGATCGCGATTACTTTGCCAAGCACATCGGATTAGCGCCGAAGTCCAGCAGCTATGATGACTCTATTATCTGGGAAGGTCTCTAACTTTCGTTAATTTGGCTTAAGAGTGTCTCCTATTAGAAATGAACACAACTAACGTCCCACCATCCATCTTCAAAGAAACGGAGCAAGAGTTGATCCTTGGGAAACGCACAAAGTGATACAGTGTTGTGGAAACTATGTGCAAAACGTATGACGTAAAACTTACACAGTTTCATCTAGCGGTAAATAGGTCAGAGCCTAGACTGTCGCGCGCTTTCAATGAGACATACGAGGTATGACAAATAAGTAATGAGACTGATTCCATAAAAATCGTATATTTTAAAATTATTCTACAATTCTGCCATCTTCTTCAAGTAGTCCCCTTGTGCAGCTATATAACATTTCCAGCGCGTTTTCCATGCTTCGTAACATTTCTGGAATGCTTCGACTGGGATGTCAGCGAGTACCCTCGTCACGGCCGCCTGGACGTCCTCAGTCGACAAAAAAACGTGTTCCTTTGACAACCGATTTTATTCTAGGAAACAAAAATAAGAAGGATCGACTTTTAGAGGGGTGTGGTACGGTGCTTTATCGCCCAAAACTTTCTCATACCAAAACCGTCGGTTAAAATTTGTCTGACTGTTTCACGTTTCATACCCAGTTCCGACGTCAACATTCGAACTCTAAGACGTTGTCGTGCAATATTATCAATTTATTACTTAATTGTCACACCTCGTGATAAATGAGGGGAACGAAGACAAAGTAAAGAAAAGTTACAGTGCCTTTTCATTCGGTGCTGACAGGAATTCTTGTAGAAAAGTAACAGTCTAGCAAGGGTTAGAGGGGATCTAGTCTACCCCTTCTGGCAATCGTATCGGACATATTATTTATGTATATATTTATCCATTGAGTTTCGTTCAATCTAATTGCGTTGAAGCTAGTATAAAGATTGCCGTACAGGTTTAGAGGAAATAAATGAGCTTGAGCTTCCAGAGCTTTTGATGGAGATAGCAAAGCAAAGAAAAGAAAGAGAAAGAGAAAGACACAGTAGTCAAATATTAGAGGACAAAACAGTGGAGATAAACCTCATTCTTGAGACTTCCACTTTTGGGTTGTGTCTGGTAATGTAAGCGTTGAAGAATATCAGGAGAGACTGATCGAGCTTCAATATGGTCCGTGCGATAGCCATTTCCTGAAAAGCTTTTGCTACATATTCGGTGGCACGTATTAAAAGTTATCAGGCGGTTGAGAAAAATGACAAGTGTGTATCTCTTCACTGCAAGCCCTTTAGAAGGCTGTTCAGGTGACAGCGCTTCGGTGAGCGAACTCTTTAGAACCCAAAGAACTCTCTTGACTGCTTATCGTATACGTAAAAACTTTGGAAAAGTTTGTGAGAGTGTTGAAAAATTCAAATAGTGAGTCCTTACGAGCTGCAGGTAGTATCATTTTTTTAAAATCCCAAAAATCACTGATAAATATTTTTTTCGAAATTTAAGTTCCTTTAAACTTGGAAGGCTGCAGCTGAGACCAGGGGATCAAATGAGGAGGGGAATACGTATAAGAATCCTTATGCACTTCACGTCCAAACAGTAGTTCTACTACAAGAAAATATGAAGACTTGGCAGAGGATCAACTTACGGCAAACTAACAGAATTTATGTGACTTCTCAGTATATGTTGGGTTGGCAGATTGATTTTGCCGTTCGCCTCTTGTGATTTCTGCTATGTGTATTTTTCAGCCCGTTTCAGCTTAGGTTATTCTAACGTTATTCTTATCGTTAATTCGGTTTATTCCTGAAGAGTGTGGACAACATTTTTACGATAAGAGCTGAATCATCTACAGTTCGCCATTCATTTCTTCTATTTGCAGAGCCCAACGAATTTAAGAATATACAGAGTTCTATCTCCACCTTTTTTGTCCAATGGAGCGACTTTCGACTTTCCATGCAACCGCTGTCTCTTGACTCGCTAAACTTTGTATGCTTATGCTGCCGTTTATTTCTTAAAACTTAAGTTTAACGTCATTGTTCGCTATTATACAACATTTAGCAGATGCGGAATAATCTTGGTGGAAAATTGGATTTTTGCACGTAATGAGAAGACTTTACCTCTTAATTGCTTAATCAGCGTAACTGGATTTTTAGAGATAACAATTTCGGTGTTATTGGTATTCCCGGGTCGAAATGTACCAGAAGTTGGGGCCTCCTTTTGAAGAATGTATCTCAACTTTTTAGCTCCGCAGCTCCTACTACTTTATGCAGTATTAAATTGTGTCAATACAACACATGAAAAAAAGAGTAATCTTGTTTGATAACTCGGTCAGTATAGAACGTTGTCCTAAATCTGAGTGAACACTTAGTGTTGCTCGGCGATGTTGGAGTTACCGTGAGATCGAAACCTCTACACTAAGTATATACGCGTTCCATTTTTATCACAAAGCACTGTATTTGTAAGTATTGTAGCAAAATAAGTGAAGTTGTCAGGGTAGCTATTAAAAATATTTGCTAACTAACACAACCACAATGGATAAGCAGTTAATAGTGCGTGGTGTCATTCAGAAGGGTAGGGTTTGACTCTCGATCTAAACAACATACAAAAATTGTAGAAAATTAATTTTTCTAATTGTGGTCGCTTGGCATTGAAATCGATGCCATTCGTGTGTACTTCTGGTTTGAAATAAAAGCGCCTCATAAATATTCAACGGTCGTACGCAGGCGGCTTGGTGTAAGCTCGAGGAACCAGCAATTTGTAGGAAAAACATCAAGATGCAAAACCACAAATTGGAGAAGGAGCTCGGCCGAAAATTGCTTCAGCGGTTACAAAGCACAAATTCAATTGAATATCACTCATCAATAGTCATTAAATTATGATTGAATGACGAGTGACAAAATTGAAATGAAGCCATCATTGAACGCAGCAATTTTTTAATTGTGTTAATGCAGATTAATTTTACGATAGTATTTTAGCGGTCTCAAAGGCAACTCTGCGAGCTACATACATATTTGTGTGCTAAGTTTAATAAACCCTCATAAAAGTCCATCATGGTCATGACTATTAATATTTAATACATATAAATATTTATCTACCTTCCGTCATACGCATTGCTAGAACAGAAATTCAGTTGAATTGTATATTTCGTTGGCTAAAGCAAGTACCTTGACGCGATGTGGTCGCGATGGCGCACCGATATGGCACGATTTATCTACAACGCCACGATGTGGTCTTCGATAGCTTTCGGCATATTGCCCTTCGGCTATAATGGGAAACTACAAAAAATCTCTCCATCCAAATATAGTTTGGCCTACAGTGTTTGTGTGAATGTGCTCCAGGTCGTGGTATCTATTCCCGCTTTGCCCACCGAAGATTTCCTTAATATCAATGTAGTGAAACGTAATAAATGGATGGACTTGCTCACGAGAGTTATCACAATTGCGAATATTTATACGCTGCTAGTTATCGTCTATATAAATTGGCGTCATTATAAATCGGTATTGAATATTTTCAATGAATTCGCTGACATTGAATGTCAGTATTTTGCAAAATACGGTCTTTTAGCGTGGAAATGTAGTGCTTACGAAAAATATATAATTTTGAAAGGTCTGGCAACGCTATTGCGAAATCTCTCCTTCATTTACTTTTTAAGCGGATTGGCTAAAGTTGTTACTTGGAACATTTTATTGGTGCTGGCGCTCGCCCTTTTGCTGGGCAATGTTATTTTATTCGTCGTTTTACACTTTTACAATTTTGTTTTAACCACTTACCGTTATATGTGGATACTAAAGCGGCGTTTGGAATACTTGTCTGAGCATGATGTTGTACACACGCACAGCCGGCAGTTAGCGAATGAAGTGTATGAGATCATCGGCATTTATTTGCGGTTGATAAAAATTTCCAAATGTTTTGGTCGCATTTATGGCAAACAATTGCTATTCAGCTTTGCCATCATAGCGTGTGGGAATATACAGGCATTGTACTACCTAGGCTTGCTGTGGGCCGATCAATTTGTGGGGTTGTCCCTTTTAGAGATATTCAATGTCTTGCATGGCGTTTCTGTGAACATTTTTGACTTTTGGCTTACAATTACTGTTTGTGAACAGGCTCTAGGGATGCCAAAGGAAGTGACACAGCTGCTGAGACGTTTCACCATTGTTGCCGAACTCGACGTGGAATTTGAGAAAAGTGTGCGTATTTGTTTTTACGTTTGCTTAAGGAAAATATTTAAAAAATTTACTAATTTTCGCTCCATTTTTAGTTGGAAATTTTGTCGGTGGTCAGCAAGACTCATAAACTGGAGATACGTTTGTGCGGCATAATCGAGTTGAATCACTTAATGGGCCTAAAAGCTCTGCTGACAATGACTTTGTATTTGATTTATTTGGTGCAATTTAGTTATAATGACTTTTGACGTAAATAAAATATGAGTTGCGAACCAAAATTCAGATCGAATCGATAACTTTGTCGATAATTAGTTTCTGTAAATTGGTGGCAATTGGGGACTTCAACACTCCGTATAGCATAAACAACATTCTTCTGCAAAGCCTTTCTCACGGAAATACCTAATATTGACTCATCTGAAGTTGTTCTCGCCCAACCCTTCTCAACACAACATATAGCAGCACGGGAATGAAGGTAGAGCTCGTTCTTTGTTCGTCGAGTGAGGACGTATTACGGCACGTTGGACTTCAAGCCAGCCATTGTCTTAGGTATTAAGATAGCAACAACCTTTAATTCAATTCTGGCCAACGTTGTTTGATGGCAGGACATAGTAGCACTGAGAGCGTGGTAAATTATTGTAGAAGATAACATCTTCTCTATTCACGTGTGAAACCTCTCTTTTCATATCGAGTGACCCGGTAAGTCATTTACATGCTTTTGCTGCTTCCGAGGCAATTTATTTATATTTTCTTGAATTTCGCTTTTGGGAAATATCTGATTGGTTGGTAAATTTTAGAGGTCTGGTGCCATAGTTATAAAGGCCAGTCAATGGTTTGGGTAGAGCAATGTAGGGTTCAATAGTCACACATATTTTGATCCGATCGTATTCTGCTATTACGAACATCAGGTTAATAATGAGGTTCGCTCACCAGAAGCTGCGGGGTCTCACAATGATAAGATTTTAAGAGTTTTTGCCTCACTAAATATGTGTTTGCTCAAAAAAGGCTGAAGTAACACCTCTCCACGACCTCCTAGAAGAGGAGTAGATGTTCATAGCTCCTAAATGTCTGATCCATTTTCTACGCATATGAAAATAAACTGAATCCTCGCTGCTTACTCTTATAGTACTTTGCCCATTTGTTGAAAGCGAAAGCTATCTGCTGCTACAGTAGTCGCCTCAGGACTCCTGTCTTCTCGGTCTACGGCTGGCCTTTTATGAAAGTTTACTGACCGTTTGCCGGTTGTCTTGCGTATACATGAAAACGTTTAGATTAATTATTATTAATCAATTATTAATTAGACCTCCACCAATGTCTGAGTGGAGTTATTATAGTAACCTTAACTCGAGCACTCTACGTGCCCAGTAGGTAAACCAAAAATTAATCGGAATTATTTAAGAAAACTATTTATAACTGTCAGAGCTAACAGTAAATAATAGGCAAATATATTGTACAATATCCTCAATTTAGGTACAAATAAACAATCGCAACTATCAGCCTTGATTTCATTTACTCTAGATAATATCAATTCTCTTACAGTGCGCACCGAAGACGCAATTGTTGTCGTGGTGAGTATCGAAGGAGACCCGAATCAGTCCATCTGCCATTGCGCGCAACAACTAGAGTTTATGCAAGATCTTTGCAGAAAGATGTTGGTTCACGGGCTCACAAAATCCAACTCGTGCCAAACTTGAAACCGAACGACTATCAACCACGTCGCACATTCGATGAATGACCAATGATTACGAATTTCAAATAAAAATTTTTCTTCAGCGAAAGGGTACTGAATAGAGTCTGGAGACTATTTTGACTCTACCACGATATTCTTTATTCAACAATGTATTTAAAATAAATGACAAAAAAATAAGTGATGAGAGAGCTCTTAAATAGCAAAACGTATGTACCATAAGATTACTGTAAATTAGGGCAAAAAATTAGCGGTAGAAAATGAGTACATGAGAAATATATGAGCTTAGTATAACTGAACAAGTATATAGTTATTGAGAACGTATTGAGTACGAATGGTAAAATAAAGAAGGAACTGCAAAGCCAAACTGCTGGGTGCTATTCATTGCTGAGGTTCCCAACAGGTACTTTAATAAGCATTTATTGAGTCTGGTTTGGTGAGCTCTATTAGCTCTATTAGCAGAGGGCAATATTGGTCCATATTTCTTAAAAAATGAAACCGTTTTAAGCGTTTTATTTCATCGCAAAAATCACATGTTTAAAAAACAGCCTTTTTAATTTTTTAACTTTACAAAGCCACAGGAGGATTCAGAGAAAACCATATTTTATTTGTTGTATAATAAAAAAATATTCAATTCATACAAACGAGCCACGACTTTCGCTCAATAAAAACTTATAAAAAAAAATCGTAGTTTATATGAGTTTTAGTCCCAGTGGTATTACAATCGGCCTTCTAGAGGCTATAGTGTGCCCACTTTAAGTGCCGACTTTTTTGTAAATATTTACATGCATGTGTCTCTAGATCACCTTTAATTCTTACAAGATATGTCTATTGAGTCACCATATCTTCTCATAAAATTTTCGATCATTTTATTTTTCGGCTAGTTTCTTGAGCTCCCCAGAAGGACGCATTTCAGTATCTCTTTTTTATCAGTTCCGCCCTAAACTAGGCTCATCTATTACGGTCTTATACAAGCTCTTCTTGCAAAGCTGGCAGAACCAATGTTTTCTCAATGCTTTTAAAGTTACGAAAATTCGATACATTATATCGAGGAGTTCAAAATGGTTAGAATGAGTAATAAAAAGCAAATAAATATATCCACTAATCGAAATGCAGAAGAATTTATCACGTAATAGTTAAGGAATGAGCAATAAAATGTTAAAATCCACGAAGTAAATAAATTCGCCGTAAAAGTGTTAAGACGTGCCGCCGCATTTACTCGTATACAGGATATTAAAAGCTTGGCGCAACACTTTAGTTACAAGCAAGCCAAAGCCAAATGGTAATAAAAGCTAAAGGAAAATACTGCCAGCTCAATAAAAGGGATAAATATTATTCACTGTTAATTTTACAATCTGCTATTTGTGCCACAAGCGAGTAAATAACACGGTCTTGCAACTCCTTCGTCCTACTCGAGCTGCTACCTTACTCCTCACTCTTTTTTTTCATTCGGCAGGGCAATTTCTTTGACGATAGTACAAGGGTTTTAGTAGCCATTAGATTGCGTTGAACATTTCCGCTTGTACGCCCACCTGTAATGCCCATCTGCTGGCAGCTAGTGCAGTACATACATATACATAATGCAGTTACATACATATGTACGTATTTACAAAATATTTGCAATGCCAAGTAGTTGCAAGGCGGAAATACAAGCTCAAATGTATGATATACACACATACCAACACACATACATTGTGCTTAATGCAGCAGCTGAGTGAGTTTCCTCACTTTTTTAATGAAAATTCCTGTCCACTTCAATTGGCAATGACAATAAATTTGGAATTTTCAGTTTTACAGCGACACTGTTTGAATAAAATCAAAAAAATTGACATTAAATATTGTTGAAAGAAACGGATTGGTGGTGGCTGGAATACGAGCGCAGTCTGATAAGTTAGCAATTGCAAATACAACATTGATGTAGGATAAAATACGGGGAGTGATGCAAGACATGAATATTTGGATAGGAAAATGCTATGCCTGCGAAGAGTATCGCGATTGTCAACTACGACCATAGCGCAACCGGACCCACCAACCGCACCAATTGAAACAGAAAAGACGGCTGTGGTGAAAAAGTGGTGTTCAATCTGGGCAAGGTATGAGCGCGCACATGTACGAGTATAGACACCTTGGCAAAAATTCATAATACCATAAATTGTGCTGTGCTGCAGACTTCGCTCCCTGCGACTATTTCTTGTTTCTAAACCTGAAGAAATGACTGGCCGGTCATTACATAAACAAGCGCTTACTTTCAGGGCATCGAAAAGGTCTATTAATAGGTAGGGATACACAATTTTGAAAAGGGCTGGACTAAATGTGTAGTGCTAAGAGGTGACTGACTGCCTTGAGAAATAAACTAAATAACCAGTTAAAAAAAAATATTTTATTCAAAAAGTAACTATTTTATCAAACCATCCTCGTATGCTGGATTAAAAATTGTACATAAAGGGAAAGCTGTGAGGATAATAAAAAACAGCTAATAAAGAAGGACAAGCAAAATGAGCCTTTCAATTTCGTTTTTCAATTAATATTCAACCAAATAAGCAACGGCTTTGTGCAGTTGCCCATACCAAAAGGTTAGAATAATTCCAGCTAAAGATAGGCATAAGAGCATCAAATTCCACTATTTAAAGCTCTAAAAAAGTATTCAATTGAAACTTGAGTTAGCACTTTCTTCCGATCTGTTTCTAATAAGAAGCAAAGTACGCTCTAGCCGTGCTCTGATACCTGATTGGTAAAATACTTTCTACCTATATGGCTTACAGCGGAATCTCTCATCCGGCATTTTGACTATTAAATGACAATAGTTTAAGAAAAATGTTCCAAAAGCTCAGAGAACCCTTGGGTTATTACGAAACGTTTCATCCGCCAATTGACGGAACTTTCAGTCAAAGTTCGGTAGAATCAAACTGATACAAAGGAGAGCTTTTAATATTTGTAACTCTCTGCTGCTTTGCCTTAAAAACATGCGATAAAAATCCCCCAAATATATTTTCATTAAAGATTTTCTTTCTTAAATTCTGATATTTATGTTACGTTCTACTTGTACCTAAAGGAGTTCATCGCCCGTACGCATGTGTGTTTGACCAATGCAACATTTTTTTTTTTGCATCTCTCAAGCAAACATATGCAGATTAAATAAAAATTGTAATATGAAGACTTTCCCCCAAAGGAGGTTGCTTACAAGATTCAATTTGTTTCCTCGTTCTTATTCGATTGTGCTCCAGTAATTCACTTTGTATGCAGGTGCCAAATAGAAATAGTTAAATGTCCTGTAGGAACAAATATTATAAGTATAAAAAAAGTAAAAATAAAAAAAAAAAAATAAATAAAACAAAGAAAAAGAAAATTTTATTTTATCTTGTAAAATAATATAAAAACAAAATTAAATTAATTAGCAAAATTCAAAATTATTAAATAAAATAAAAAAATAAAATAAAATAAAGAATATATCATAAAATAGAAAAAAAAGTAAAATTAAATAAAAATTAATAAAAAAATAAACCAATCGTAAATATTTTAAACTTTAACAAATGATATACAATTGAGTGTACAAAAACAATAGCT